GTCTCTCGGATGAGAGACGAAACGTTTCTACATTTTTTTGCTTTGTTTTTTTTTTTTTTTTTTTTTTTTTTAATGTCCAGAGGACCAGATTGAACTTTTTTGGATTCTTATTATTTATACGCCACAACAAAAGGTGATGGTGACTGTTATCAAAATTTCTCATGAACCAGCTGATAAATTTCTATGAAACATGCAGAAAGTATTCATTGGATGAGCATCTGCAATTGATCAACCTTTGGAGTCAATTTGATACAAGATGGCCACCACAGCTAATGAACCTTAAAAAGTACAAAATTAGCTGTAACTGAGTTAATTGTACTTTTATTGAGGTAAATTTTAGTGTGTTAGTAGCTGAGACTTCTCCCTAAATCACATTTTGAGAGCTAACAAATAGAAAACATGAGAATGAACTGTCAGTTTTACAGTTTAATGTGGTAGTAGTTGAAGTATGATTGCTCATTTTATTTTATTTCATTCAGGTTTGACCAAAACAGGAACAAGTGCATCATCTCTCAACAGTACGATCTTATTCTAAAACATTGGCATAAAAAGCTGCTGGACATACAGTACATTCCTGCAAAGTTTTTTTCTTGCAGTAAATTATTATTTACTTGTTATTTTACTCATAAATGTTTTTATACAGCTGTTTTGTGTTAACTTCTCTGCATGATGCACCTTCTCTTTCTCCGTCTTGGTGTTGACTCTTTTTTACTTAGTGACATCATTTTTTGACACCATTTTGGCAACAAGTCACTGGACTGCAGCGTCATTTTATTTACTTTGATAAATGTTAATGTTGCTCTCCACCTGCGCGCCGTCTGCCTGCGAGTTCTTATAGTTGGCTCACCCCCCAGACTGTGCTAAAACATCTGTAATTAAAGAGCAAGCATTCCTCCACCTGCTGCCTTCCATGATGGAGTTTTAACTAAAACTGTCTGTTCTTCAAAGATTACAAAGTTTTAGTCATTTTGGTCAAAAGCTGAAAATAACTTGTGTGATTTCACGTGAATTTATCGGCACTTGGATCACAAGCTTAGCTACCACATCCAATTCATTTAGATAAACATTTTTGTGTTAGCTAATATGGATTGACTGTGAGGGCCATCTTGGACCGGTTTGATTCCAGAAGTCAATCAGTTGAACATGTATCTGTAATGATGTTTCTGGAAATTGAATTAAAATTCATCCAAATGCTTCATGAGATGTTTTGCTAACAAACAAACAGGTTGACTCCAGTCAATGCTGAAGATTTTCAAACAAGATTTCATGCAATGAGTGGCACTTGAAGTACGTGTTATAAATGAATATCAGATGCATCAACAGACTAGCTCAAGCTGCAAAACTGACTGGATTATATCCATTTGGTTGGCTGTGGTGGCCATCTTGACTGGCGTTAGCACCAAAGTTTAATCAGTTATATTGCTATATCCAATAATTACTTCCTAAAAGTTTAGTTAAAATCCATCCATTGGTTCATGAGATATTTTGCTAACAGGCACAGACAAAAGCATCTTCAGCGGGCGGTATGACAATGTAACTGTTGCTCTTGGTCTTCTAGCTGATCAGTAATCTGCCTTTTCTTTGCTTTAAGGGAAATTAAACTTCTAAATTGAAAATACATTCATAAAGAATGCAACAAATATTTGATAGTATTTTTTAATCATTATTTGTGTTTCATGGCCTTTTCTTCCTCCAAACAACAAAAAATAAAATAAAATAAAATAACTGGAGATAAATGAAGCACATTTTGCCCCCCAAAACAAATAAAGATGAAATGCAGGACCGAGTGTGTAAGCTGTGTTTTTTTTTTTTTTAAGTTCAGTAAAATAACAGAGAAATGAGAAACTGAGCCACTACATGTGCTGAGATGAGTTCCATCCATCTGATGGAAGCCACCCAGCATCCTCCGGATCTCCATCAGCACCGGTTGAGCGTCACGAGGCTCCTACCTTACAAGATTCATTTAGTGCAAATCAGCAACAGTTGACGGCGGACAGTTCGGGTAAAAAGCTGCTTCCCCTCCTGAGCGTGGAGCGAATGAACCGCTGAGGTTTAACGTAACGCAGCCGGTGACCTCTTCCTCTTTATCAGCTGAAGCGGCGCCGGGCGACGGGAGGCGGATTCATCTCGACCCGCAGCTGCCGACTGTTTCTGAGAGGCTCCGGTCCGGAAGTGTGGGCGTCTGGAAACGGTCGGTGCTGCTGCTGGTGACTCTGGATGTGAGCCTACAACGACCAGTTCACCTCCTCCTCATCATCACGACTCAGTGAGGAAGAAGGCTGTTCTCATCACTCATCTTTTTTTTTTTTTTTTTAATTCATAGCTGAGGGAATTCGTGATGCTCTGCGTGAAGTTCCACCGCCGGCCGCTGGGTGGCGGTGCAGGCGCACAGCTGGAGTGACACGACCATAAACAGTTTTTGTTTTGACCTTCCAGAAACTGTAATACATCTTCTTTTTTTTCACAGTTTAGCAGGTTTATTAAAAACCATATTTGAAGGAATTTTTCCTTACGTTGGGAAAATGTTTTGTTTTTTTAGATTCCCCAGAAAGGATGCTAAATGTTTTGCTTTTTATATAATAAACTTGCTAATTATTTTGGCCAAATTTTACATTCATAAATGTAAATTTACTAACAAAACGCCATGCTTTCTTCATTTTATTAAGGATGTGGTACTATATGTGAAATTAATAACATACTCTACCAACAAAAAGGCCCTTAGGACAATTTCTATCTGTAAATCTTTGCAAACATTTGTTTAATTAACATCCCTGGTTGTTCATATAAGTGTTGTGTTCTTTTGTATACTCCATTCATTGTTTGTTTTACTTGTCATTTGCTTGAATAAAGATTTATTTAAAAAAAAACCACTGAACGATGTTTTTGTATCACCAAAATGTCTCATTGGACACATTTTTATTAAACTTTAAAAAGGAATCTCTGGATATACCTGATTACACCATGGAGTCAACCCAATTCAAGATGGCTGCCTCAGCCAACTAACCTTAATAAAAAGCATAAATGGTTTCAATTTAGTTCATTTTACAGATATTGACATAACATTTGGTGTGACAGTAGCTAAGACTAATCCGCAACACATATTCTGAGCACTAAAACTGCGTAAAATCTTTGTTTTAAATTGTCAAAGTATTTAGGTACTCTGTTAGCAAAATAACTCATAAATCACTGGCAGGATTTTAATGAAACGTTCAGGAAATAATTGATCTTTTACAAATACTAAAGAGGATAATCAACGTCATTATTTTGCAGTGCATTGTGCTCTAGATCATAGGTGTCCAAATTGCTGCCCGAGGGCCATTTGCGGCCCTTGGAGTGATTTTGTGCGGCCCACAACTGCAGTTTTAGAATGGCATCATTTTGGCCAGCAGGCTTAAAAGGTCAATGCAGACTTTCTGCAAATTCTTTGATAATCCTTTTATATGTAATATTTGGGTTTAACAGCAAAATGGATGAAAAACAATCTTTTCAAAATGAGTAATATTAAACAAAATACAAACCTTCGGCTGTGATCTTTTTATTTTCAGTTCATGGTACAAATCATCGCAAACCTTTGCTAATTTATACCAGAAAGGAGACTTTTGGACAATGATTCATAAAACTTGGCTAAATATCAGTTGATAAAATAATCAAAAAGGAAATTGGTCCTTTTTAAATGAATACAATGTGGTGTCATCGACATACGAGTTGATCAACTTGATCAAATCTTCTATGAATCTGTCGTAGCAACTGACAGCTGGACATTTTTTCAGGACTTAGATCAGCCTTTTGGGCCGTCCATGGTCCAAAAGGCTGATCGACCCCCTTTTTAAAGGACAATTACTCAAATTACGGTTTTGTTGCTGAGAACAGACTAAAATGAACTTTACAAACACAAGAAAACAGACATAGACCCAACAAATCAAATAAATCAAATATATATATATATAAGCTTAGTGTTTATGAGGCCTTTAATGTTTTGGATCTAGAACAATTTAAATAAAACGTTCTCCACCAAAATTAGTAAACTTTTGTCTTTTATCCAAAATATTGTGCATGTTGAGAGTTAAATTCACAATTTTTATGGCCCACGAGTCTTTTCACCTTGATAGTTTTGGCCCACATATGAAAAAGTTTGAAAACCCCTGGTCTAGATATTCATGCCTTCTTCTGTAATTTTTTTTTTTTTTTTTTGCTATCACTGACCTTTTAAGTTTGATGTTTCATCTTTGCATTTGTATCCTTTATTTAACCAGGAAAAATAACTCATTGAGATTAAAAACCTCTTTTCCAAGAGTGACCTGGCCAAGACAGCAGCATAAAACACACAACAAATCCAAAATACTAAACCAAATACACAAAATACATATCCAGGAGAAATCACAATAATTACACACGAGAGCAGTTACAGGAGCAAAGTGATCTGATCTCTCGTTCCTTTAAAATTGATTTAAATTGTCCCAACGTAACAAGAGATGATAACTTTAAATCCTTCTGCAGAATATTCCAAGTGGCAGGGGCGAAATATTTAAAAGCCTTTTTACCCAGTTCAGTTTTGACCTTTGGGACCTGCTTCAAAATGATGTCCTGAGAGTGCAGACTATAATGGTTAAAAGCTCTAGATAAAAGTGAACATAAATATGTAGTAAGATGCCCAAGGATGCATTTATAGACAAAAACCAACAAGTGAGAAAGTCTGCGGTCAGTCAAAGAGGGACATTTTGCTGTATCATACAAAGTGCAGTGATGTGTTCGATAGCCACAGTCAGTCATAAAATGGAGGGCACAATGATATACAGCATCCATTTTTCTCAAAATCAGGGCTGAAGAGTTCATAAGTAACAGATCTCCATAATCCACCAGGGGCAGAATAGTTGAAACAATCAGGTTCCTTCTGACTTGGTGTGAGAAACACTTTTTATTTCTAAAAAAGAAACCCAATTTAACCTGATGCATGCTCAATAATCCAGGTAGAAAAATCTAAAAAAGTTAAATCTGGTCCTCTGGACATTCAAAAAAAACAAAAAAACAAAGCAAATCAACAAAAAATATAGAAACGTTTCGTCTCTCATCCGAGAGACTTCCTCAGTCTGAGGTGCTGTTTTCAGCTCAGTCTCTTAAATAGCACC